AAACACACGTCACACAACACGTCACATACACACGTCACACACACACGTCACACGTACACACACACGTCACACACACGTCACACACCCACACGTCACACACACACGTCACATACACACGTCACACACACACGTCACATACAACACCACAGTCACACACACGTCACACACACACGTCACATACACACGTCACATCACACACGTCACAACCACGTCACATACACATACACACGTCACACACACACGTCACATACACACGTCACAAACACACGTCACATACACATGTCACAAACACATCACACACACGTCACATACACACGTCACAAACACACGTCACAAACACACGTCACATACACACGTCACACACACATGTCACATACACACGTCACATACACATGTCACAAACACATCACACACACGTCACACACACACGTCACACACACACGTCACATACACATGTCACATACACACGTCACAAACACACGTCACATACACACGTCACATACACACACACACAAACACACACACACATCACACACACGTCACATACACACGTCACACACACACGTCACATACACACGTCACACACACACGTCACACACACACGTCACATACACACGTCACACACACACGTCACATACACACGTCACATACACACGTCACAAACACACGTCACATACACACGTCACAAACACACGTCACATACACACGTCACACACACACGTCACATACACACGTCACACACACACGTCACATACACACGTCACACACACACGTCACATACACACGTCACACACACACGTCACACACACACGTCACATACACACGTCACACACACACGTCACATACACACGTCACAAACACACGTCACATACACATGTCACAAACACATCACACACACGTCACATACACACGTCACAAACACACGTCACAAACACACGTCACATACACACGTCACACACACATGTCACATACACACGTCACATACACACGTCACATACACACGTCACACACACACGTCACATACACACGTCACAAACACACGTCACATACACATCACACACACGTCACATACACACGTCACACACACACGTCACATACACATGTCACAAACACATCACACACACGTCACATACACATGTCACATACACACGTCACATACACACGTCACATACACACGTCACACACACACGTCACATACACACGTCACATACACACGTCACATACACACGTCACACACACACGTCACATACACACGTCACAAACACACGTCACATACACATGTCACAAACACATCACACACACGTCACATACACATGTCACATACACACGTCACATACACACGTCACATACACACGTCACATACACATGTCACATACACACGTCACAAACACACGTCACATACACATGTCACAAACACATCACACACACGTCACATACACATGTCACATACACACGTCACATACACACGTCACATACACACGTCACATACACACGTCACATACACATCACACACACGTCACATACACACGTCACACACACACGTCACATACACATGTCACAAACACATCACACACACGTCACATACACATTGTACACACACACACACGTCACATACACACGTCACATACACACGTCACACACACACGTCACATACACACGTCACATACACACGTCACACACACACGTCACATACACACGTCACAAACACACGTCACATACACATGTCACAAACACATCACACACACGTCACATACACATGTCACATACACACGTCACATACACACGATACACATCACACACGTCACACGTCACACACGTCACATACACATGTCACAAACACACGTCACATACACACGTCACATACACACGTCACATACACACGTCACATACACATCACACACACGTCACATACACACACACACAAACACACACACACACGTCACATACACACACACACGTCACATTCACACACACACACACACACACGTCACATACACACATACACACACACACGTCACATACACACACACACAAACACACACACGTCACATACACACACACACGTCACACACACGTCACATACACACACACACACGTCACACACACACACACGTCACACACACGTCACATACACACACACACACACACACACGTCACATACACACACACACGTCACATACACACACACACATCACACACACATCACACACACAATACACACACCAGACACACACACAACACACGTCACACACATCACATATCACACACACACGTCACACACACATCACACACATGTCACATACACACACACACACAAACACACACACACATCACACACACGTCACATACACACACACACAAACACACACACACATCACACGTCACACACATCACACACACACACACGTCACATATACACACATCACACACACATCACACACACAATACACACACCAGACACACACACACAACACACGTCACACACATCACATATCACACACACACATCACACACATACTTCGTGGTTGCTATGGTAACACTTATGGAATTCCCAAGTGGTGATGTCATAATTTCCAAACAGGAAATCACTTTTAAAACCTAAAAAAATGTCCAAACACTTTTTATTTAAATCTTCAACGTAACGATTTTTAATCAAACAGACGCAAACGGACGCCGCGCTGCACGATCCGACCAATCACACGATCCGACCAATCACACGATCCGACCAATCACACGATCCGACCAATCACACGATCCGACCAATCACACGATTCGACCAATCACACACCTTCTTTCCCCGAGGTCATGAGTAACCCCGCCCCCTCCTCTGTCTCAGGTCGACGACGCCGCGCTGATGTTCGATAAGACCACGAACCGACACCGAGGTACTGGACCAGGACTAGACCAGGACTGGATCAGGACCGGATCAGGACCGGACCAGGACCGGACCAGGACCGGACCAGGACCGGACCAGGACCGGACCAGGACCGACCCAGGACCGGACCAGGACCGGACCAGGACCGGACCAGGACCAGACCAGGACTAGACCAGGACTAAAGTGGTTGTGTTTGTTGTAGGTTTTGGTTTCGTGACGTTTGAAGACGAGGAGGTGGTGGAGAAAGTGTGTGAGATCCACTTTCATGAGATCAACAGTAAAATGGTGCGTCGTCGGTTTCGCTCGTCTGGAGATTTTCTTTGTTTTGTTTTGTTTTGATGTTGAATTCAAACTTTAGTTTCACTTTCGGTGGCAGGTGGAGTGTAAAAAGGCCCAGCCCAAAGAGGTCATGACCCCCAGCTCCTCCAGGGGGCGCTCCCGAGTCGTGCCGTACGGGGTCGACGCCGCCGCCTTCATGTTCGGGGTCGGAATGCTCGGTATGGAACCTTTACACCTGTCACCTGTCACTTTACACCTGTCACCTGTCACTTTACACCTGTCACTTTGCACCTGTCGCCTGTCACTTTACACCTGTCACTTTACACCTGTCACTTTACACCTGTCACTTTACACCTGTCACCTGTCACTTTACACCTGTCACTTTGCACCTGTCACCTGTCACTTTACACCTGTCACTTTACACCTGTCACTTTACACCTGTCACTTTACACCTGTCACCTGTCACTTTACACCTGTCACTTTGCACCTGTCGCCTGTCACTTTACACCTGTCACTTTACACCTGTCACTTTGCACCTGTCACTTTACACCTGTCACTTTACACCTGTCACCTGTCACTTTACACCTGTCACTTTGCACCTGTCGCCTGTCATTTTACACCTGTCACTTTACACCTGTCGCCTGTCACTTTACACCTGTCACTTTACACCTGTCGCCTGTCACTTTACACCTGTCACTTTGCACCTGTCGCCTGTCACTTTACACCTGTCACTTTGCACCTGTCGCCTGTCATTTTACACCTGTCACCTGTCACTTTACACCTGTCACTTTGCACCTGTCGCCTGTCACTTTACACCTGTCACCTGTCACTTTACACCTGTCACTTTGCACCTGTTGCTTTACACCTGTCGCCTGTCAGTTTACACCTGTCGCCTGTCAGTTTACACCTGTCAGTTTACACCTGTCGCCTGTCACTTTACACCTGTCGCCTGTCAGTTTACACCTGTCGCCTGTCACTTTACACCTGTCGCCTGTCACTTTACACCTGTCAGTTTACACCTGTCGCCTGTCAGTTTACACCTGTCAGTTTACACCTGTCGCCTGTCACTTTACACCTGTCAGTTTACACCTGTCGCCTGTCAGTTTACACCTGTCGCCTGTCACTTTACACCTGTCAGTTTACACCTGTCGCCTGTCAGTTTACACCTGTCAGTTTACACCTGTCGCCTGTCACTTTACACCTGTCAGTTTACACCTGTCGCCTGTCAGTTTACACCTGTCGCCTGTCAGTTGCCACATTTACATGAGAGCTTTAATTCTGAATAAAAATCATTTAATTCTGAATAAAAATCATTTAATTCTGAATAAAAATCATTTAATTCTGAATAAAAATCATTTAATTCTGAATCAAATTGAATTCAGTTTTAAAAAGTCCATGCAAACTCTTCCTAATGAAAATATTTATTGGGAATTAAACTGAATTCTGAAGTTAGTGTTTGTTTTATTCTGATTTTAAAGCTGAATGAATTTCTTCCTGGATCATGTTTTGTTAAACTTAATGTCGATGGTTCAACAGAAGCTCGTTGGGTCGATTTAACGAGTTTTCTAATTCTGAATTATTATTTCCATTAAAGTCGAAGGAGAATATTTTAATTATGAACAATTAATTCAGAATTTAAAAAAAAAACATCATGTAAACGTGGAGAGTCTGATGTTCAGGAGGACACATCTGACAGAGGTTTAAAACTCACACAAACTCTGAGCTTTAATCCATGTTCTAATGTTCTAATGTTCCAATGTTCTAATGTTCTAATGTTCTACTGTTCTAATGTTCTTATGTTCTAATGTTCTAATGTTCTAATGTTCTAATGTTCCAATGTTCTACT